TCTTGCTTGAGGACACCAAGCAAAGTAAGTTAAAGACTGGACGATTCTGTCTTGTGGGTTTGGGATGCTTGTGTTGTTGACTGCTCATTCTCTCAGGCCTCATTATTCATCATGTGCACAGTACCATGCTGGGTACTTCCTGGGCAGTACTGGTGGAGGTGTGAAGAGAGATGTTCAGACAGACACTGGAGCCACAGAAGTGACCACTAGGCAGAACATCAATATCTGATGCCTGCCCCTTAAAAGCTAGAAATATCAATCAAGGGACTCTAGGGGCAATGAAGAGGTCTGAGTCTAAAATGTACACAACTCTAAAGTGGATGCAATTAACTCTGCTAAACTCCTCCTTCTCCCCCAAACACCCTAAAAAGCAAGCCCTGCATCTGCTCAGTGCTTTCCAGCTTCCCAAGTGTTTTCACAACACCATCTCATTTCGTTCTCACATCAGCCCACACACATTTTACCATTCAGTCTTGTGTACCCAAATGAGTTTCACTGCAAAATTGGCCCCAAACTCCCCTTCTCCTACTCACACAGTTTTTATAACTCCAAGCCTTTGATTGACATCTTTCAGAAGCTTCCAGGTTACCAGGGTGGGAAACATGTTTATTTTGCCTGCCCTGCCCTACTGGATGGATACCAAAAGTCCTTGTCTTTGCTGTTGGAACCAACCCTTCTGTATTCAGCTCACAGTTCAGCTGTTAAAACAAACAAAGGCACAGAGGCCATGATAAGTATGGTATTGTGGGGGAAATAGACTTTGGAATCAGCAAGCCCCAGAGTCAAATTTTGGCTTAGCCACTCGAAGACCATGGCTAGGGTACTTACTCTCTGGAGACTCGATGTCTTCATCTGTAGTAAATGACAGCAAGAGTGCCTGTGGCTAAGGTGTTTCAAGGCAAAATGTGGGTGTATCCCAGCAAATGTTGCCCCTGACTTTTCCCCAGTCTCCTTGACAAGATCAGATAGCTACATGGTGAAGTCCCTTATAACTAACCAAAGAGCTAATCAAAGTGCCAGCTTTGCCACTACTAGGCAACTCAAGTACAACACTGTCTTTGACAAAACAAAGGGAGACAGCATGTAGGACTAGATCATCAGATGAACTTAGACCAAGACATCTTAATTCAATAAATGATTAGCTATGTGCCTCCCATATATGGCACAGCTGCAACTGAGATTCAGAAGGGTGTGGTGGCTCTCTCCTGTAATTCCCAGCACTTTGAAGACTGAAGCAAGAGGATTGCTGCAAGTTCCAGGCCAGGATGGGCCACAGAGTGAAACCCTTTCTCAAAAAAAAATTTTTTTTTAAAGTTAAATAAAATACCACTAGCACTCTAGAGGCAAAGGCAGGTTGATCTCTATGAGACTGAGGTCAGCCTGGTCTACCTAGCAACTTCTAGGCCAGCTGGGGCTACAGGGAGACCTTGTCTCAAAAGAACAAACAAAAACAAAACAACAAACAATTATTGCTACCACTGTGTATATGTGTGTATATCACTATATATATATACATATATATATATATTAAGTTCATTATCTTTAGTCTTTAAAAAACTGATTTTAGGCAAAGGCAAAAGAGAGCTAAGAAACTGGCAAAGCAATTCTGATTATATTTCAGGGTTTTTTTTTTCTTGAAACTGAATCGCAATTCAATTCTTTGGTCCCTCAGCACAGGTGGAGGAGGGAGACAATGCAGAAAGCGCAGGCTCTTCACTATCTACATATATTAAGTGATGCTCAATAAATATTGGTTGAGAGACTGAGAGCTCAGCAGTCAAGATCCACCCCCCCCCGTGTGTGTCTGTGTGTCTGTATGTGTGTCTGTGTGTGTGTGTGTGAGTGCGCATACACGTACTGCAGGCTTCTTGGCAAACACAATGCACTGTAGTGCTACAGTGGAAAAAAACATTTGACCAGTGGTCCGAAAGTGCAGTTTCCATCTATGCCACTTAACAGCCTAGTGACCTTGGACAAGCCATTTAATCTGTTAAGTGTCTTCTCACCTGTAAAATGAGGAGACTGGACGAGGTGATTTGAAGGGTCTCTTTCAGCTCTAAGGTTCTGAGTAACTTCGTTTGCTCAAGTTTCTGTTTCTTCATTTATTCAAAGGCAGTAGGGCTAGAAACCTATCCCACAGAGTGCATAGAGGAAGAAACGGTGTGTACCTTAAAATCTCCTGTATCTTAAAGGAATGAGGAAATGCAATGATATGGACGTGTATTAGAGGGAGAAGCTGTGTGTGCCTACACCCTCTGAGTTCCAGGCCCAGCCCAACTGTTGTAGCTGCGTAATCTTTGGCAAACTTCCTGATTTATTTCAACCTCAGTTTGTCCATCTGTAAACTTGGGACTGTAGGTTGTGCTCTGTGACTCTTATCACATTCTATTGGAAACCGAGGTAGTGAAAATGTTTTGAAAAATCGCAAAGCACTGAGAACTGATTGGCATGCAGTCAGAAGGGAGGTGTAGCTCTGTGGTAGAGTGTTTTCTTAGAATGCATGAGGCCCTGGGTACAATCCAGAAAGAGAGAGAGAGAGAGAGAGAGAGAGAGAGAGAGAGAGAGAGAAAAAAAGAAACAATGGAAACAATATATGACACATACGTATGATGATATCATGATGAAACCCAGTACCTGAAAAAAGTTAACTGAGAGAGAAAATGGCATTCTTGTTACAGTTTGATCAAAGTGGTCTCATCAACATTATGTCTCCCATATTTTCAAAAGAACAAATATCCTAGAGGGAGTGATAGAAAGATTTGGGCTCGGAGTCCAAGGCTGATTTTCTACCCTAACTTGCTGACCAGTGAAGCTGAGCTAAAATGGGCATTCATGCAGTTTCCCGAACAGTAGTCATTCAGCATCACCTCAGCGTTTTCCAGATCACTGATGGTGGAGGTAGACTTTATTTCCCATTCTCTCCAGCTAATTGACTAAAAGTGTGTGTGGTGGAGATCACAGGATAGCTTTCTAAGCTTCACAAGGTAATGATCACAGGTATGTAAAGTGTGTCTGTTACATGTCAAGGTGGTATAATTGCCTTTCAGTCTTTCATCCCATGTCTTGCAAGAGATTGCTCCTGGGGAGACATGGCAGAAGGCTTCTTCCCAGTCATCTCAGAGCCTGGTTCAGGTACTACCTTCAGAAGGTTTCTAGAAGGTCCCAGCCTGGAACCCAGTTCTCCAAGCATTCATTGGTTTCTCTTTGGCTCCCCACGTGACACATGACAGCCAGTGACACTGAGACATGTCCCCACTCTACTAAAAGACAGAAACATCCCCCCCCCTGTTAATAGTAGCCCCACCCCTGGACCATCTCCCTTAGTAACTGCATAAAATCTGGCCCTCCATCAGAACTCCTCCCTCCCCAACCAGGAGCAGAATACAGATGGTCCTCAGTAACACAACTCAGCTCCTGATTTAACTTGAGCAGTAGGGGCAGTCTCCTTAGTTTTTCTGGTTGGAGGGTTTATGAAATCTGGTCTTATTAGGAAATATATCTTTTACTCATATCGTACATATATTTGCATGGTCTTATTAGGTATATTGTTTATTCATATTGTACATATATTTACAGGGTTATTTTTAAATTGCTCTTATAGGTTTGTTTTGGGTTTGGGTTGATTCTGGAGGGCTGTTGAAAATTATGAGGTCTCCTTTTCCAAGCTTCTCATGGCCCTGCCAATCATTAATAACTTCTCTCTTGGTCCCAGCAGGCTTTTATCCGAGATAAGCACTGTAGTTCCACTTTTATGTACATATAAATGGATTTGATATACTCCTTGCCTTTCTTTTAAAGAGCAGACTACTTCAAAGCCCATTTAATTTTGCTTAGTTTCCTAGCATCCCTTTCCCCTTTCCCCAGCCTCTTTATGGTCCTAGGTCAAGGTTATAAAGCTGTTGTAAAGGAGTAATTGAAACAGAGGCCACAGAGGGGCAGCGCTGGGTACTGAGTCTAATTCCAGTCTTCCTGGCTCTGGGGGCTGCACAGTGGCTTGACCGCTAGGACAGACACTGGAGCTGCAGTTTTTCGGCAGTGCGAGAGGCAGTCGCCTGGAGCTTTGTGTTTGCTTCAAAGTGAATCCTAGGAGCGGATCTGGGAGCTAAAGCTAGTAGGGTGTACTTGCACTCTGCCCACCCTCACTCCGCAGTCTCAAGGCAAACCGTGTGTGTGTGTGTGTGTGTGTGTGTGTGTGTGTGTGTGTGTACGTGAGCGTGAGCAATGGAAAAATCCTCGTAAGACACCACATGCTTTCTCCCACAAACGGAGCCCTCCACGGATCCCTGGGTTGCAGATTTCTCCTCGAAAGCCAACGTGGCCCCGCGGGCAGTGGGTCCCTCCAGTTCCGCATCTCTCGAGCCTTCCTTCCCATCTTTTCTTTTTTTTTTTTTTTTTTTTTTTTTTTCCACCATATTCTTTATTCCGACAGCTGGTACTGCATGGAAGGGATTCGCCTCCAGCGTCCCAATCCCGGTGTCATGGGTGATGATCCCAGAGAGAGAAGCCTGGTTTGCATGGGTGACCACCGAAGAGGGTCCTAAAGTATGGGTTGGGGACTGCGAGTAGGAGTCACGGAGGACTCGGCGCCAAAAGGCCTGATGGAGGAATGGCGCCCTCCTCCGGCGTCCACCGAGCTGTCACGTCCCGCGTTGGCCCTAACGCCTTCCTCACGCCCACCAGCCCAGCCGGGTCACCTTTGGAGTCCCCGGGTGTGCGTGGGGAGGGGGCTGCGGACGCCAGCGGGGAAGCGGCGTTGATATTGAACTCCAGCCGGATGCCCGCGGGAGTGCGCGTGTGAGCGGTGGGGTGGAGGCCGGGCTCGTAGCTGCAGCGAACCAGGGCTGGCAGGGAGCGGAGCCGAGCACGTCCCCGAGCCGCCGCCCGCCAGAGCGCCTAGAGCCGAAGCCATTCATGATTTTGGTGACGTTATTCTAGGAGTGGGCGAGGGGGGCGGGGCCGCTCCGGAGCAAGCCCCGCCCCCGCCCCTATAAATTCGGCTTCCCGGGCTCTTTGTGGGACCCGGAGCTCGGTGGAGAGCTGGGAGCTGGGTCTGCACTGCCGACGCCGGTCTCGGGAAGGCGGACCGGCGAGCGCCCAGGGCCAGCGCTCGGCTGCCCGCAGCTCTCCCCTGTGCCCGTGTCATCCTTACTCGGGACGCAGCGACCCTTTTTTTAAAACACAAGGGCGTGGGTCAGCCTCCCCTAGGACTTCATGTCTGTATATTTCCCCATTCACTGGTGAGTATACTGCGCCTGCGGCCGGCGCACGCTTAGCAGCGGTAGCTGCGGGGCCCGGCGGCCGCCTAGCGCCGGCTCCGGGTGCGAGGGCACCGAGAGGAGCGGACGCCCAGCGGCAGCCCGCTGCCCGAACCCCTGCAGGAGTCAACGTCAAGGTTGCAAAGCTAGGGGTGGGGGGAGGTGGTGCTGAGAGCATCCAGACAAAGGAAGTGAACTCGGAACCCTCACTGAAGTGGCGGCTGGAGGGTGTGGATATGGTGGTGGTGGGTGGGGAGAAGCAGGGATCCCGCCTGAACCCGGGTAAAGAAATCCCCTCTGCGGAGGCTGCAGGAGGCGTGCGTGCTGCCTGGCGCAGGGGGCTCCGGCTCCCCGGACCCCTCCCCTTTTCCTTTTTGTTTGCATGCTGGTCTAGGCGTCGAGGCCGGCTGCAGCGGGGCTAAGCTGGTGCAGCCAAGGCGTTTGCAGAGCCCCGGGGGGTGGGGGAGACGCGCTGTGTACACGAAAGCCATGAGCTGCGGGGCACACGCTGCACTCTCTCAATCCCTGCCCTCTCCGTAGCCCCTAAAACCCGACGCCTTTGTAGGGGCCCGGGCTGGGGAGGAGCCGCCCTCCCAGTGCCAGGCTGGAAGGAGGCTGGGGCAGCCGAGTGAGGGGCGGCAGAGGTTTGCCCCCTGCGGGGAATCGGCGGGGGGATCTGAGCTGAAAGGATGCGGGGAGAGGCCCCTAGCTGCTGGGACTTGCGCGCCAGCTGCTTCTTCCTTCCTGCTGTGGGGCAGAGGAGGGGCGCTGCCAGGGACCAGAGCTGCAGTCCTGGAGCGCGCTTGCAGGTGCCGGCCCTGGAGAACCCGGCCCCAGGTCGAGGGCAGGCTCAGAGCCCAGGGAAAATGGGCTCTATCCTGGGGTGGTGTCCTCCCTATCCCAGGATCTCCGAAAGTTCATGCTTCTTGCTTCAACTTTTTGGGCCCGCGCCACAGTTCTAAGAGAGAATGGAACGCGAAAAGCCTTGAGACCTTCATGTGGATGCTCCTCTGACCCCCTTCTTAGGGAGTTAGTGGCAGTTTCTCCAGACGAAATTGCCTTTAAAGTCTTGGCTTCAGAATCTAAATTTACTCCTAAACCCATCCTGTGTTAGTCTCCCCTCCCTGTCTTAGCTTTGATTAGAGAGGCCACTGGCTGTCAAAACAAAGTAACACCCCCCACACACCCGAGGCTTGTGTACCCCTTCTGTACAGGCACATCAGGTGCCTTATGGGTGAGGCTTTGAAGGTTGGTGAAGGCTTTGTGTCTCCGAGTGTTCAAAATTTAGCACCGTGGATGTTAGGATCTCTCGGGGGATCTTAGCGCCTCCACCCATTAAGGTTTAGGATTATTTTATTAATCAGCACTTCCTTGGTAGTCTGCAACATTTTTCCTCCAGACATAACCATGAGATATGTATGTGTTATTAGCATCTTAGTAACAAACAGGGCACCTGTGGCTTAGAGAGCTTATATGACTTCTTCAAAATCACACAGCTCTTAAGTGGTGAAGGCTATCAGAACACCAAATTCCATTTCTAGTCTATTTGGTATCCAAAAATAAGAAAAGAAGTCTATTTTCTTAGATACAGTCTTTCTAAAGCCTGTCTTTCTTTTTTAAACAGTGTGTATAGACATGATGAAAATACTAGGTGGTGTGTCCTGAGTACCAGGATTTAGTATGTGTGTTTGCACTGTGCATTCGGGACTCTGTGTATGCCCATGGCTTTTGAAAGGATAATGGAACATTTGTACCCTGCTTAGAGAGTACAAAGCACTTTCACATGACAGCCATTGGTGGGCCAGCTTCGCCCCTCTGGAAATTTCTTTGCAATCAGAGTCTGGGTGTCCTTAATGCTTTTAATCCAGGGGATGTTTTTCATGCTGTGAGCTTGTAGCAGCTGCTGCCAGGGCTACCGAAAGGGGTTGGATGGCAGATGTAAGGCTTGCACAAAAGCTGACCCCTTGGGGTTTTAAGTGGGACATTTTGCCTAAAGGACCAGACAGACAGAGACAGTTAAGAAGGCAGCATGATTGGACTTTGTCTCCCTAAGGCTGGCCTGTTATTGTTATTATGTAATACTACTGTGCAGTTCACTGGAAATTCATGGACAGATTACTTTTATTCTTAGGTGGAAGGGTGAAGGCAGATATGACTGAATTGGTTTCATATAGATACACAGACTCAAGTACCTCCTGGTGTGTGTGTGTGTGTTTCATTTAAAAGAAAATCCAGGACTTCCCTGTGTATGGGGGTGGAGTGGGTGCTGTAGTGCATAGGGTAGGATGGAAGGAGAACTTGCAGACAGTGGGCTTTATTGGTCCATGGGAATATGAGTCCTGGTGCTGTAGGTTTGATTGTTGCTTCTGGGAAGGCGGTGGTAAGCTTGTTTTGCTGTGAGTTGTTTGAGTATCTCTCATCCTGTTTTCAGTCACTCCCCGGGTCCCAGGGCCACAAAGCCACCAAGAGGAGGAATGTGTAAGTACGTTACATATGTTGACTTTTGGTCTGGGTTTCTCCACAGCTCTGATTATCTGAGATCAGCCGAAATGACTGAGGTGATGATGAATACTCCATCCATGGAAGAGATTGGCCTCAGCCCCCGGAAGGATGGCCTTTCCTATCAAGTGAGTTGCTGGGACTGGAGGCAAACTTTGTTTGGGGTTGCAGTATCACCTGTAAGAGCTGTGTCACCTTGGGAAAGCCTTTGACTGCCAGTAAGCCTCAGTTTCTTAATCTGTAAAATGGGGCAACAATGGTTCTCATCCAATAGGATTGTAATGACAATTTAATATAATAAGAGGATATAGTGCTTGAGATCCCTAAGGGTTCAGCAGACATTAGCCAGCATCATTTATTAGCCATCCTGACTCTGGGAACTCTCCCAATAACAGCAGAATTTTCTTCCCAGTTAGGTTTTTGGGCAGTAGAAACACAGCTAGGAGAAAGCTCCTAGGGAAGGGTGGTCTGGAGGGAGAATGGTTGACTGGCTGATTCAGAGTTCAGGTTCAAACTACTTAGAGCTGAAGAGGATGCTATCTCAGGGATGCTGTTGCTGGAATGCAGCTTAGAGGTCATACTGTCTAGTGGAGATAAAATATATAAGGACCCTATCAATGGAGTGGAGCGACCCTTCACACACTTAGCCAATGCTCTTTCTGTGTGGTAAAGCCTTGACATGAGGGGATGGCCTTATCATACTCAGCCAGCAATAGCATACTTCAGTTTTTGGATCATCAAAGAGAGTCCCGAGGTTGCTGAATTTGGAGGAGGGAAGTGCCTGTCAGGGAAGACTTTGAGGCAAGGGCTGTTGTATAGAATGAGAGACTGGCCCAGGCAAGATGAATGGGGCATGAAGTGCCAAGCACTTTTCACACATTACTTTACTCAGCCACAGATGCCAGGGGAATGCCTACCCCACTTTATACCGAGAAGCTAGCTCAGCTGTGGTTGGGCACTTGGACCTCTCTCCACAAGGTTTTAATCTTCTGACATATGTGTATCACCTTGGGCTGGATCTGGCTAGAGTCTAGACATACTCCAGCTGCTAATTCCTTAAAGCTATTCCAAAGACACTTGTTTTGTAAAGAATGAAATAAATGGAAAAGCTGGGGTTGGTGCTTTGCAATGGGAGGAGGGCAATCAAAGAGAGCCAGGATAAAGGCTGAGGTTGGGAGCATGACTTCAGACATGCTTGGGAGATTCAAGGAGGCCCCTTTGTTTGTGTTAATACATCAGGCTTCACTTCCTGATGAAATAAGAATCCCGTTGGCCTGCAGGGGTGAGGGGCCTAAGGAAGGATGCTTTTTCAGAGTTGCTTCAACCCTCCTCCCCCAGAAAGGGACTGAGAAGGCAGTTGAGGGGCCCCATGGCCAGGTGGGAGGTGCTGAGTTTTTTGTCCCACCTGCCTTGGTAGTTTTGGATACCAGTTTCCAAGCCTCTGAGTCAAACTGAAGGTCTTGGTGGTTACAGGTGAGGGTGTCTTTCAGTTCCTGGTTGTAGGTTTCCATCACAGAACCTTTCCAAATGTAGTCATCAGTATATTTTGTATGTGCTTTCTCTGTTTTCCTTTTAAACATGTCCCAAACCAAAGAGCCCAAGAAGTCTTCTCAGCCGTGAAAATCTTTGAGGGTATCCTTATAATTATGAGCCTTAGCACAGGTGGCCATGGACGGGGCTGCCATTCTGGATGAGGAGGACTGAATTGAGGCTGCAGTGGCTGGAGTAAAATAAAACCATTTCTGTCCTGTGATATTTGGACACTGCCTGAAGAAAAATACCTTCAAGGCTTCCTTTCCTAAATCTCTGCACCAGGGGTATAGTTCTTACAGCTTTGAGGAAATCTACCCCTGCCCATTGGGTGGAGATCACTGCCTAGCGCCCAGATAGCTTACCTGCAACTGCAAAGCTCTCTTGTCACAGATGATTTCAGAAAGGGCTTTTGGTTGCCTGGTGAAGAGAAAGGGGAAAAGTTGTAATAGTTAGCCAAGCAGCATTTACTGGGCACTTTCTATGCATAACCTGATGGGCTGGGTGCTTTGTCCAGGGCCTAGGGCTTATGTGGGGAACCAGCTTGTACGTGGACTTCTGGGACATAGGTAGACTGGTCAATCCAGGTGTGGGCGCCGATGATGAAATTTGACAGTCTGACACAGCATGGAATGAGGAAGTCAGGTAGGCTGGACTTTGAAAGAAAAGTCCAGAAGGGGCAACACCATCTCTCATGTAATTTTATTAAAATTTCATGTACTCCTTGGCTGCTCCTGTTTATGCCCAGTATGAGGCTCTCTGGTGAGCTGGTCTAGCAACTGGCAGGTGATGGGTACTCTCTGGGTCCCCTCAAATCAGGTGCCATTCAATTAAAAGCATTCCCACCAATGCCCTGGGGGATTGACTGAGCCTGGCTCCGGGCCAAAGCCTGTGGCCCTGCTTGCCTGGGCTCTGCTTGGAGCTGCGGGTGGGAACTCAGTGCTCTGTTCTTGGCTTTACTCCTGAAGATAATAATAGTATGTGGCTTTTCTGAGACCTGCTTTTCCAAGGAACTGAGTAGGGGCAAGAGACATCAATCCTGACTGAGCAGATAAACCAGAATCTCAGGCTTAGAATTTGACCTTGAAACAAGGTCATCACATAAGTGGCCATTAGGACTTCTCCATTCAGTCTCCAGCCTTCCAGACCCAACCAGAATTAAGCTTCCCTGGTTTCTTTGTACTGGATGTGACCATTCTTTCAATGCCTGGCTTTTCAGAACATGGGCTCTGCATTACCTTCCCATTGCCAGAGCATCAAGGGCAGGGGCATGCCTTGGTATCAGCTTTATATTCTTTAGTCATCACCTTTTTTCCATTCAGATACTTACTTACATGCTCACAGAACAGGTAGATGCTAAGGGGAATGGTGTCCTGATTTGAAAGCTGGCCACCTTCATCTCTGCTCTGGCCTCTGAAGGTCCTGCCAGGCCCATGCCTATTCAGGGTCCAGATACATATCTTTTTTTTTCTTAGTCCCCTGAAGGATTCATGTTAGCCCTTCTATGATCTTTTAGAAATTGATACCATTTTTATTTTGTTTTGTTTGAGACAGGGTCTCATGTATCCCAGGCTAGCCAAAAATGGCTTTGAATTCCTGATCTAGCTCTCAAATGCTGGGGTTATAGATCCACACCACCATGTTCAGCTTATGCAGTACTGGAATGGAACCCAGGGCCTCATGCATGCCAGGCAAGCACTCTACCAAGTAAACCACATCCTGAGCCCTGAGTTTATTCCATTTTGTGAGTATGTATAAAAATCTGGAGCCAGTACCCTTTTTTGTCTACATATCCATTTGGGAAGTCATTGAAATAAGTGAAACACATGTTTTCATATTATTTGGCAGGAATTATTACATCCCATGGGGTGGGTAGGTAAAGGTTACTGGAAAGTCTAGTACATTTTGCTTAGCCTGTATGCAGCAGCCAGCTCTCAGAACTGTGTGGGAGGGTCTCCATGAGAATATTTATGTTCTGGAAAACTGCAGCTCCCTCCCTGTGCAGTGTCTGTGGGTTTCCCAGTCAGTTACCAGCCTATGGGACAGTTTTTTGCTGTCTAGTACAGGTCAGTTGCTGGATGCCTGTGAAGCCTGCTCTTTCCGTGGTCCCATGATTCTAAGTATGTGTTATTTGGGAATGTGTCTCTCTCCGAGGGTCTCCTGAATTGACCAGTGCTCTGTATGAGGAAGAGCCCTAGTGGTTTGCCTGTGAGCTCTGACACTGGTGAACTCTAAAGGGGCACTGGCATTCTGCTCTTGTCCCCTAACTTCTCCAGACACAATGTACAGAGGCTATCACATTTTTATCACCGTGTTTAGGTCTGCTGGCTACATTGTACCTTTGCATTTAGACCTGTTCCTTCCTCAGCCTCAGGACAAAGTCTGATAACTTTATCTTTCCTTAGCCTTTATGTATGTATGTATGTATGTATTTATTCATTCATTCATTCATTCATTCAACTTAATTGTAGACAGGGTCTCGATGCCAGAGTGGCCTAGAACCCTTAGACTAGCCGAGGATGACTATGAGCTTCTGATCATCATGCCCTCTACTTCCTAAGAGCTGCGTTTATAGGCTCGTGATACTATGTCTGGTTTTGGTGGTGCTGGAGTTTGAACGTAGGGCCTCATGCATACCAGGCAAGGGCTCTACCAACTGAGCTATAACCCCAGACCCTGCCTAGGCTCATAAAATGCCTCTCTGACCACTGCACATCTTTGATCGGTTGCTCTCGGTATCCCAGTTGCTAAATACTCTTGATTCGTGTATGCCTGCCATTTGACAGCATCTCTCAGTCAGGCAAGGATATGGCTCTTCTTTTCAGGAGGTCATTCTGAGTGCCAGAAGAAGCTATTTCTTTATGTAACCCAGTGCTCCTATGCCCCATGACCTCCTTTTGATCTAAAGAGCTCAGAGCTTCTCACATCTTCCCTCAGAGTAGAACGAGAGATAGTGGTGACTGACCTTTCTTGCCTCTACTTAGTGTTTGCTTCTCACAGGCCCAGAGCCTCAATCAGCTCTGCCCCAGAGAGAGGACTGAAAGAGTCAAGGAGGCTAAGAATCAACCTCCTCGGGGGCAGGGCCTGGGGGTTTAGCCATAGCCAACTACTTTCTCTGCCTCAGTCCTTATCAAGGGCAATAGCTCCTTGAAGAATGGGTTATGAGTTATCGCTGAAGTCAGGCAGTGACACAAAAACTTCATTCACATCTCTGGAGAGCTCATCTTTAGAAAGACATCCTGAGCCTGGTTTCCCTGTGTAAGGAAGCACCTGGACCAGCACCTGAGATCATTATTCTTCCCTAGGCTCTGATCCATGCAGAGGGATGCATTGACCTAAAGGATGACTTCATTGTTCTTCATCCTTGAGTTAGGCCCCCAAGAAAGCTTCTGCTCACCATCCTTCCTCTGTCTCCCACTATCCCCCATCATGAGGGCACTCTTGGTAATTATCAGCTTCAATTTTGTCCTCTTCTACTCTCCTTGTCTCATTGATCACCCCAGGTGGTGTCCTACATGTCCCCCAGAGTTTGGGAGACCCCATTGAGTGGCTACATTCAAGTCCCATGATCACCAGGAAATCATCTTTCATAACATTG